GCAGTCACGGCCAGCTCCTCACCTGCAGGCAATGCAGGGAGCATCTCTGTGGCACACAAAATCCCAATCCTTGATCTTTGAAAACGAGAAATCTTTTTGAAATCTTTTTGAAAATGATCCCAGAGAAAGCCCTTCACGTATCTGATCATCAGCTTATGTGCCAGCAAAAAATTTCCAGCATACCTGCCAGCCTCAATTAGTGTCCAGAACACAACTGGCATCCTTGCGAGCATCAATCTTATTGCCTTTATTTCTTAGGAACAGCATCCATCTGCTCCCAATAGCTCACATCTGGCACGCCACGAGTTATGAAAGAGCCCCAACCCCGTTCGAAGGAAATTATTCCTCCAGCCAAGAGGCTCATGCAGAACCGAGTTTAGTATTTGTCGTTACAAATTTACTACAAATCACACAGTTAGTTACCTGGGGGTTCAGATTTCAGAACTGCAACTTCCTGTAGGGGTTGGTTTTGATTTTTGTTTTGTTTTCCTCCGTCACACGTTGATATTATGTAAATTGCTGTGTGATGGAAAACACCACACAGCAGTGGAGAAATACTGAGAAATACAGAGAATACGGAGAAAAACAAGGACTGGGAGTAGGAAGCTTAGTATAGAGATTTACATACACAGAGCAGCAAAAATGCTCCGGAGCATTAACCCAGTGCCCTGATTTCCTCCTGCAGTGAACAGCACATAGGAGGAGAGAGGTGTTAGCCTGTTCAAGCACTCCCTTCCCAATTTCACTGCCTGGCACAGTACGCCAAGCCTTCTCGTGATAACCCCAGAGCAGGTCCTGCATACTTCCCAACACATGAAATACAACATTTGTATTTCCAAACAGCTGTGAGGTGAGGAAGCAGCCTCTGCCTCGTGCTGGGCACACGCTAAATTCTAGAACAAATGTTGGGCACTGGTCCCTGTATGGGAGCTGACCTGTGCAACCAAGGGATGGCCTATGCTGCAGCCAAAAGGAGGAAAGCAAGTAATTAGGCAGAAATAGGTCTCGTCCTGCTTAAAGAAAAGCAGGGTGGTGCTTGGGAAGGCCGCTGCAGCCGTTACCTCTAGAGGGAATAGCAAAGGGTGGCAGCACCCAGCACTGCCTGAGGCCACGGGGTGACTCACTGCACTAATTAACCAGGGCTGCAAACTAAGATACTGGTGAGATATTAACTTATTTTATTACTGCAAATCCATTGCTGCTTCTTTCTTTTATCCTACAACCTTACACACTGGTAACACTGAATTTCCATAGTTTTTCCATCATCATGGACCTGGCAAGCCTCAGAAGTGGCAGACGGGACCTCTCCTGTAGGGCTCAGCACCTAAGGACACTTCTGCTGGCCCAGACAAAGCAGGGATCTCCTCCTCTCGTCTGCACAAACCAGTGCAGGGGACAGTGACTGAGGGGTCTTTGTGAGAAAGGTAACTTGCCCCAGCCAGTAAAGATGCCTGAGACACAGCTAGGAAAGCACCAGGGTCCCCAGGGAGCTTACAACCTCTAGCAGCTTCCAACAAGAGAACTCAAAGCCTTAAACAAAACACTGATTATTTGGGGATTTTCAGGATGAATTTCACCATAGCTTTTCTCTTGCAACACAGGCCAGTATTTATACACCCGCATTTGTGCCAAACTAGGACTTTTGCACAGAGGAGCCAGTCTGTCAGTATCGATGACAGCCAAAGGGAAGAGCTGTAGAAGTTCACAGTATTCAAACAAAATCTTGAATGCTCCCGAGGTGGTAACAGCACATACTGCAGGCAATACTGTGATGAGCAAGGTGGTTTCTGACCATCAATGTGCTTTTCTGGTGGAAAGACAACTCCTGAAGAGGTGATAGAGATGGGGGCACAGAGCAGTGGGCGTTGAGCACATCGGGGCCAGAGGGAGCGTTATTTCAGTAAGGGGGATGCAGCCACTCTTGCATGTCTGTGTGCACAGGCAGGGAACAGCATCGGGTTCACTGCAGGCTTCATCCCAGTTCAGCTGATCTGGCAGCTCGTGTTTCAAGCACTGTTCCAGTGTAGCTGGGGAGGGAAGGACCCCAAATGGCCCCTTTGCCCTCCGACCGCAGTGGGAGCAGGACAGCCAGCGAGGCTGTCAGTAGTAGGAGTGCGTGTGTTTGACTTGGCCCTACTCCTAAAATAATTGTTTGGCCACAATGGAAGGTGACAAACGATTCAGCTGCAACCCCACTGGGGAATACCAGGAGAAAATCCCCAGCCACTCACACAACTGTGCTGGGACTGCTCTGAAACACCAGCATCGCTTAACCCCTGAGGGCATCCCCCCTCTGGTCCCACTGCCCTCACTGACCCCCCAAGAACATCATCTCTCCTCTCCTGCTTGGATCAAACGCCTTCCTCGTCCCACTGCCTGGGCTTAGCAGGAGGCTTGCTGACAGCAGAGGAGGGTGCACCAACCTTCACCCAAATGTGGCCAGAGCTGCTGTTGAAAAAAACAAAATCCCGCTCAGCTTCTGGCAGGAGTGCGCAAAGTGCAGCCAGAATGGCTGGGCACACAGATATTAAATTAACAAATATCTCTCCCCAAACATGCAGGCACTGAGATTGCTCAGAGCTGTGAGTATGAGCAAGTCTGGATGGATTTTCACTGGATAATCCAAAAGACAGTTTCTTGACACAGGGATCACCTGTGGCTCCAGTTTCCAATCCTTCCTCTAATGCATCAAAAAGATCATCAGAATTGGACACATGAAAACTATTTTTCCCCTCTTACTATGTTTTCAGAAGCAGCCGAAACCTTTTAGCCAATTACTTTTTTTTTTTTTTTTAATAGCCAGCAGCGTGAATAATTTCCAGCATGGAAAATTTCTGCCTAAAGAGCTAAAATTGGCATAGAATCATAAAACAGTCATATAATAAAGGCCTCCAGCAACTGCAACAGTCACTGCTACCAAGCCTACCTAGAGCATTTTTTTCCACTGTGCTAAGAGGATCTGTTTCACTCCTCTCCTTTCAATCCAATTTCCACTGTACTGCACCACAAGTTTAAAATAAGGACACCAGGAAGCATGTGCGATAACAGGGAAGGAAGGGAGAAACCACAATTTCATTCATTCTTTCAACAGAGCCAAAAAGGAGTGGTTATATTTTTTTTTTCTTCAAGAAAATGCTGAGGGGAGCAGGGAAGGGGGATGTGCTTGGTTTGAACTTTCGCATCTGTACCACGATACTGTAAAGCAACCCTTCCTCCAGAGGTGCCCCAGCATTTTGCAGACTTGTGCTTGCAGCACAGCCAGATTGGGTGCCTGTCTCCGTGCAGCCTCTGGTGACGACGACTTCCATCTAGGAGCATGCAGAGCTGAAGCCAAGATGCAAGGGGAAGAAGAGAGGATGGACAGTCACAACATTCTTGTGTTTCTTTCCCCCTGAGCAGCAAGGCAGGCCACACAACGACAAGGACACAGCCCTCTGCGGCTGGAGGGAGGCACTGCTTTGGCAGACACACACCACCTTGTTTGCCTCTCTTGCAGCAAACGTCCTAAGCTTGGCTCCAACCTTGGAGCACCAGCGAAGAAGATGAGATGCTGCGGAGAAGGAAGAGCTGAGCTCCATTTCCTTCCAGCCCTGGCAGCAGCCCAACAGCTGTTCCCTGTTTATTTACTTTCATATTTCCTTGGTTACACAAGCAGCTGCTCACTGCTTAACCCCTGCCTGCTCCAGCAGGGTCCACGCTGTGCTGCCCACCTTGCCTTGCCCCGGCACGATGCTGCGGGTCAGGGGGAGGGCTGCTGAGGTCCTGAATGGAGCTGGGCTCTCAAAAGGGCTCAAAACACGGACATCCTCACGTCCAGGGCTCTGCAGAAGGTGCCTCGTCGGGCAGGGCACATCTCGCCTGAACCCACCTGCACACCCACGCCGACAAAGGCTTTTCAAGTTGACCCGAAGCAAACTGACCAGCTGGACCTGCTAAAGCCATCTGGCTTCCCCCGGGCTTACTTTGCTATGCGGGCCCAGATGCGCTGTAATTTTAGTAGCCTATTTGTGTCGGGATGCATCCTCATTCCTGGGCAAGCACAGCACCCATTGAGACAAAGCATGAGGCTGCACACAGCTTCACACGAGCAGGGTGCTGGAGGGTGCCCAGCTCCTCTCCCCATCCCACACGCGGGCCAGGAGGGATGTGCCAGTGAGTTTTCTGGCAGGTCCATAGATCACTTCGTGCATTTTCCTTTCTCATCTGTACAGAGCCTGTTCCAGCAGCTCAGTTTGCGTTTTGGCTCATAAAGCTCAGCCAGACCCCTTGGCTCATCTCCACAGTACAAGGAGGGGGTGGAAAACACCCTTTGCCTGCTCGCCCAGAACACCGGCTCCGATTTGCTGCAGCCCTGCCTGTCCCAATTGCCTTTCCAGCCTCCTCCCTCCATTCTTCCTTCATCTTCCTCCCAGCTGCCTCCTCCACCCCACACCAAGAGGTAATTGCTAAAGCAGTGCACCTCACTAGCTAATGGCAGCTCCTGATTGCTTGCTCCCTGAAATGCCAACCTGTGGCACAGGGACCATGGGAACTGGAGCTTCTCAGCAGCACCCCATTTTGGTGTGCCAGCAGTTGGGAAAGGCATGGGATTAGCTCCACAGGAGTGGAACTTGGGGCAAACTGTAACACACACACACAATAAAAAACGATCCACCACCACCTGCATGAATTCCAGCTGTGGGAATTCAAACATACCTATGTCCCCCCTGTAGCCCAGGGAGTGAGAGATGAAACTCAGAATGGGACATGCAGAAGCCCCAGGGTGTCCACGCTGCGTCATGAGAGGCATTGGAGCTACAAGTGCAGCTTTTGAGGATGCTTTGTTCTTGCTTTTTCAAGGATGTCCAGCACTGCACTTAAGTTTCCTCAAATCTAAACATTTTCTGGTACATTACAAAAGGAATGCTTGCCTCTAGCATAAAACATAAACCATTCTTTGCAATTTACCATGTCTTTCAATCCTCTGAAGTCCAAAACCTAAGAACTGGAGAAATGCTTACCTGCAGGTCAAAGAACTTGCTGTACCGTCGGTAGATGACTTCTGTGGACCCATTGGACCAGGTGACTTTGATAATGTACACCTGTAGGGAACAGAAGAAGAAATCAGATATGAGTGACAGAACAACCCGCAGCACAATCCAATGGCTGCTAAACAGCTGGGCATCAACCAGGAAGCTGCACAGAACACTTCAAGCAGCACTTAATACTAGAAAATAAGCTTGAATTATTAAGCTCCATGCTACAACTTAGCTGTCTACAAAATGCTTATTCATAATCATGAATTGAGACAGCACCCTATCACTAACTACAGGTACAGAACAAATGTGAAAAGGTGCTTCTATGTAAACATATAGTTAGCCTCTCCAGACAGACATGTGAGGAGTTATAAACAACGCCCTGGTGATCCCACCTATGGCTGCAGCGTTGTTTGAGCCCCTGATCTCAAACCTGCTATGTACTCCCCAAGGCCAGTCTGCACCCCAGAACAGGGCTTGCGAGGAGAACTCAAACCCTGTGCCATTCAAAACTCTGTCTGTTTTCCATAAGCAGCTTTGCTGTCACATTAAGTTTTTGTTTTCTGAGGCTTGCTGAGGTGCAGGTTGCCCTCCTGTTACATAAAATGCTACACAACTAATCCTAGCATTTCTAGGTTATTCACAGATCATGTGGCCAGGCTTTTACTGCTGATGAATGAGAAGGGGAATAAAAAAAAAGGAAGAAAATACCCCAGCTTTATTATTCTTCCATGAAAGACAACAAGCAAATAACAGAATTGGGAAATTACTTATTTAATGTCCTTGCTTGTTGTTCACAGAAACCAGAGATGACCCTTGATGAGATGCCAGCATAACTCTCAAGTGTTGCAAACCTCATCCTTCGCTAATTGATAGCAGATTGGGTAAGCAGAACGAGGATATGTATGTTAATTTTTCTTCTTACTATCATTTTCCACATATTTCCACCAGAAATTCCAGCATTAACCCACTGAGGCAGGAACAAACTATTCAGAAGACCAGGTGAACAGACCTGGTAGAGACTTCAGTCTCACACAATGAAGAGTGAAGGCCTTTAGGATGGTGATGTTCTGGTATTTAAAACCCAGTCCCTTAACAGTTTCACAACGTTTCCCACAGAGACACATTTTTCCAGATGCTGGAACAAGACCAACATCCCAGCCCAATATCCAAACTCAAATACCAGGAGACTTAGATGGCTAGCACAACAGCAAACTGTTTGAGCTAACCAAACCTACTTGAATACTGCACTAAAGCTCTAATTGAAAGGCCATTCTGCTTCCCAAAGGGCTGACGCAGCACGAGCTACCAAGGTGAGGGGACTCCTAAGGAACCATAATCTCTTCCCACTGCAACCCCTTACAAACTATGATGGAAAAGGAGGCAGTGAGATGAAGCACGTGCTCACTGCTAAAATAAAGAAATTCAGCAGTTTCAAGCCAGCAGTTCAATGACCACTTGTCTTAAGCCAGATGCTCAGCTCAAACACAGCTGCTGCTGCTTTTCCTGCCTCACAGTGAGATGGCTGGGAACCACCACCACCACCTTCTCCCAGGCAAATTCAGAATCACCCGGCTTCACCTCCTGGGCCTTATTCAGCTAACCACAATCCTCTCCTTTCACTCACAAAATATTTTTTTTGACTGAAGGACCTGCACTTTCTGTACCCTAACTCAAGGAAGACAGAGGACTCCTGCAGTACAGCATTTGCAGCAGCTGTGAGTATCTGGATATACAATATGTTACAAGAGGTGCCCTGACAACACACTTAGTTACCACCAAACATGGCTTGACAAGTGTTTTCAAGTGGATCAGGCCAATACCTGTTTAAGTACATGCTCCTAGACCTCAACAGGTAAGAGACAACTTGGCTGACCTCAGTTTGCAACGAGAACAGGTTGAGTTGCATGACGTGGCCTCAAATTCCTGAGAGCATCTGTATAGGTACCACCACTTCGTTACACAAAGAAGTCACCCAGCCCGGCTGAACTCGAGGCTTGCACCTACTGCTTACACTTCATGGATCATACCATCAGCAAGCCAAGCGTTAACTTCATGCTAAGCAAGCATCCAAGCTGCCTTTACCCTCACCCCAGGACTTGCGGGCAGGCCAGCATGAGCTCATTTTGGTTGGAAGCTCAGCTGATATCCCAGCTTTCTTACCAGTCCACAGCACTTCACGGGGTTATATCACTGCTGGCTGCCTGCCTAGAGAACGCCTTCCACTGGGGCAGGAGGAAGAGCCAACTTTTCTTCATTGTTTATTCCTATTCTGCCTTTATTTGGAGTCAACAGTTTATTAGACTGGGATTTTAATCAGGATGTGGATTTGCTCAAGCCAGAATGAATCCAATGCTCTGAAGGGTATAAAGCCATGAGATTTGAGGGCACACTATGCTTTATTATACCCTTTGTAACTGAGGGAAGGAGACCTTCTCCCAGCTGATGAGCTCACTCCTGTATTGCTGGAAGGCAGATCTCCCTGGGGTCAGGATAATGGTTTCGTGCTCATCCCATTTAAATAGCCGACAGGTCTCTGGGGATATCTCCTCATCTATTTGTGAAAAAAAATGAAGAGATAGGAAACCCTGCAGAACAGGGAGATCCTCAACAGCCATAAAAATACTGTCTTCATGAAGCTGATTCCCTTTCTACTTGGGAGCATCCCTCATCCTTGACTCCAGTGGCCCCATCCCACTAAGGTACTCTAGGCCAAAAATGCCACAGCTCTTTGATAATTCCCCCCTGGGGGATGAAAAAAGAGATGCCAGAAAGCAAAACTCAGGTGTTCATTAATTAACAAGGAAGTTGCAGATTTTGAAAGGGATAAATAGTACAGTTGGCCACTCTATGATGTTTTCACAGCCCCAACAAACTCAGTTTCGCCCTGGTAATCACAGGGACCGCACCAAACAGCTTGCTCCTGCAGAGGCTGCTCCGAGGAGGGGCTTTATCCAAGCCTGGCTGTGTGGGTGAGGGCATGTGGAAACTTATTTCATGGGCTTTCTCCAGCTCCAAGCGAGCACTGCTGGAAGGGGGAAGCCACAGCCCAGGCCCCACAGCTCCTGGAGGGGTGGGGAGGGCCCAGCAGATGGCAGAGAGGCAGCAGGCGGCCGGGTCCAGGAGGGGGCTGCAGCCCCATCACGTGGGCCGGGCCCATGGCCAAAACCAACAGGCGAAGCTATCTAAATATTTACAGGCCTGCCCGGGCCAGCGGTGGTTTCTGCATGGTGGAGGGGATCTAGCTGACTCTGTGAAAACCGATGGCTGCCCTCCCTCCGGAAAGGAAACCTCACTCTCCTCACACTGAGGGCCCCCACCCCTTGCCCTGCTCCAAACCACGCTGCCACATGCCCATCACGTCAAACCAGGCTCGATGGCTGAAGGCACCCTAGGCTACAGTGAGCTTTGGGACAGGCAGTAATCACCAGGACTGAAACCTCTCCAGCTCAACTGCTGCCATAGGTCATGACAGCACAGCTGAAACTCACACCCCTGCTTCCGAAATTGCTGAAATGCAATTCACACTGTTTGTCCTGCTAGTGCACAGTACAGAGCAGGGGTACAAAGTTTTCGGTGTTACATCCTGGAAAACCTGAGCACGAGGCCTTCCCCACAAGCCTGAGCTTCAGGGCAGGGGGAGCACTCTACCAGGAGACGCCATCACAGGTGGCCACCACCAAAACAAGGGAACAAGGTCTCCCCCGTGCCTCCACGGGGCTCCCTGTGGGTGGTGTGGAGACCAGAGGCCACCAGGACACGTTAGAGGTGCAGGTGGGGCTTGTTCAGCACTGGTGGGGAGGAACACTTCACAGTAATGCAAAGAACACCATGTGCTCCCGTCCCTTGGAGGGATGGAGTGGAACAAATCCTTCACAGAAAATGGAAACCAACAGATGCGGAAGGCTGAACTCTGACAGACGCAGCAGTGTTTTGGCTCCCTAGACTTCCTGCAAAGCTCTACATTACAAGCAATTGGCTGTATACCAACTGTTTAAAAATTACTGATCAAGGAGTTTACCATCAAGCCTCCAATCTTGCAAGATTCTCCTTGGTCATGTTCAAAACCAAGTACCCTAAACGGGAATATAAAGGTGGAAAATTTTAAAATAAAAAATAAAAATGTAGCTTTCCCAGTCCATCATCTTTATTCACCAGCTTGGTCCCTGCTGTCTCTCCTATGGCTTGGTGTGCTGTGCAGCCCTCCCGCTGCTCCAGCGTTCCTGGAGACACAGTTCAGAGGGAGACCGAGCCAGTGGAAAGTGGGACTGAAACCCTTCGTACTGGAACTGTCAGAAGTGACAGGTTGCTAAAAGCAATGCAAATGGCACCTGGCCAACCGTAACAGAGCTGTCAACAAAAGCTGCCAGTCAGCCATCGTGGCAGCAAGGGCTCTGGCAACCGCGGGGGAAACGTGCTGGCAGCTGGAGAATGCTTCCCTGGCTCCACGAGGGAGACCTGTGCTCCCCAGGGAGTGGGCTGGGACATCCCTCCAGGAAGGAGGGCCATAAGAGCCAGCATGGCAGGCACCAAGTGGAGCCCAGATGCTGGGCACAGCCTGGAGAGGCCATGCAAGAGAGCTCATGTGCAAACCCACAGCAGTCAGAGGCCCAATGGCTGGGAACTAGGAGAAAGGGGAGGAGAAACCACTGCAAATTATCTGAAAGGCAACCCAAAGATTTTTATTTTTTCTCCTTTTAAATAAATGGGGCAGCATGCCTGAGCCCTGGGAGCTGCCAGACCTAGCAGTGCTCTTCCTGAGACTGATAAGAGCCTTGGTGCTGCAGATAACAGCGGCTTCTGGTGACTTCCACAGCAAAAAGTGGCTGAGGACTCTAAAGGCTTTCACAGGCCCTCAGTTTTACGCTTCTCCAGGAGGCATGTTGTCACATAAAATCATGGCTACAGAGCACGGACGGTTCAATGGGCTGACTTGAAGCAATGGGATTAAGAACAGATACAAAAAAATAAAAATAGTTCCCCATTCTTGAAACACAAGGCCGTATGACCTTCGAGAATAATCACGTCTGGACTCCCTACGTAAACACACTAAGGACACGCACAGA